CTCTCTCTCTCTCTCTCTCTCTCTTCCTGTGTTATTTGTCATTATGTGTTTATAATACACATTGTTCTTCTATAGCCTGTACTGTTTTAAAATAATTTAACTAGTGGTGATTTGCTTTCCTAGGTCCTTTCTCCATTGTCCGATTCAATCTTGGCTGAGAAAACAGTGACAGTGCTGGATGACCGGGTGGGAATTGTAGAACTGGGAGTTCAACTTATCACTGGCCTCTCCTTGGCTGTACAAGCCAGCAAGGGACACAAGCGAGCCATCATCACAACTACCACAGCTAGTGATATCCTGCATGACTATAAACAGGTACATCACCAAAGTTCTCAAAAAACCTGTCTGTACACTTTGCAATACCGGCTGTTTACTGTATTGCTTTACCACACATATGGGCTAAAGACTCATTTTCATTTGAAGTTTGTGAGAAAAAGAGAATTATACCCTGACCTGACTAGGAACACATAGGGGGTTGGTTTACTAGAGTATAACATGTTAATTTTTGCAGAGTGAATTTTTACCTACCAGAAGTAATTGAGCTGAAGCTAAATGAAAAGATCCTAATTTTATGCAAGGAAAATTTAAAAAGTTTTTTGCTTACATGTGATTGGTTGATAGTTGAAAGCAGAGCTTCCCCTCATTCACTAAGTGAAATAAAAATTGACTTTGATGTGAACATTCTCTACACTTTAGCAAATCAACCCCACTGTGTGAATGTACCCTGATCCATGAGTAAAATCATAGTGAAATTAGTTACCTCTAATAATGACTACACTAGGTGTAGATGGCTGCTGGCTACTGGATAAATCATAGCTTGATTGATGTTGGATGCTAGAGACAGTGCTATACTTCCAGGACTGCAGGGATGAAGATCTACAGCTGCAATAGTGAAGAGGTCCAGTCATGTACCCTCCCCTCCGGTCTCCTAGTCCCTTCACAAAATGCTATGTATTTTTTTATACAGAATACATGGAGTTCTGTAATTGGATGAGGGGTGAGGAAGGACAGGTATATGCATGAATTTCCCATCCTCCATTCACAGAGCAAATTGTATTCTGGGAGAAAAATGCAATACTTTTTGTAAGTGGAGGGGGCGGATATATGACTGGAGCCCATCAACGTTGTAGCCACAGCTCTATATCCCTGCAGTGCCAGAACAATCGTGCTGTGTCTACTGTCTGGCTTCAGTTGAGGTTTGTGCAGTTTCTTTGGGAAAAAAAAACAAACTTTTTTCCTGGACTTCAGCTTTCATTTTATTTATAAAGTGATACCATAAAAGCTTCTTCCTGGCCAAATAACTGTGGTTTAGGGGAACTTGTTTATTCATTACACATTTTATATATTTTTAGGTTTTTTTTCTCTTTCATTTTTTTTCATTTAGCTATAATCTGACATGAGTGTTGATTGCTAACATACTCACTTTATTTTCATAGTGAAAAAGGTTAAGCTGTGTTCACTTAAATTATCCAGTCATGTCAAAGTTCTGCTAAATCTCACTCGCACATGATTGGGTGTTTGAAATAAACACAGCTTCACCGCATTTACTAAACTAAGTGAACTTTTGCTTTGCTATGTAAGCAGCTTTTACTTTTCTAGCAGATTGAACCAAGTCTTATGTCGACAGTTGTTAAGAGAGACAGAGTTATCGCATTAAGTCCCTGAGAGTTCTTTTTAGTGGCAAATCTACATGCCTCTGCATATAACAAAATGCAAAACAAAAATTAAAGATTTACTCTGCAGTAATGATTTAAAAAATAAGTTACTGAAAATGATGTATACTTTACTTTTAAATTCAGTTTAACATCATTCAAATGTACAGTTTAGGTTGTATATACAGCTCGGATAGCATATCTCTTTAAATTGCAATATTATGTGAAATTTCTAGTAAATTGCAGTTAATTATTTCTTCAATGTGATTTCAAGTAAACAGTTGTAATACTTTCAGTGCCACAAGCTTCTTTGCTTGTTTAAAAATTTAAGCACTGACTCGTGTACTGCTCAGGCTCTGACACCTCCTGTGGTTATTTAAAAGTGCTTAAGTACCTCTGTTTATTCATGTAGCATCTCAGTTTATTCATGTGGATTAAATCTTGTCATCCCCCAATAGTGGCTTCTACATTCTACAGAAAATCATTTAAGCAAGCCATTTAATTTGTTCATAGACCAAAAATGTAATACAGCATCATACATGTCTTCCTGAGTGATGCTTTTAGAGTGATGATTGCAAGAACAGTGAATTGTAGTGTCATTCTGCTGCAGAACAGAACATCAGGGGTCAATCAACACATTATCATACAACTTACTGCAAGATGCTGTAGGAAGTAAATGTATTAACTTGCTGACAATTGTTGAGCTTTAAACAGTGATGCCTTTGCTTTATTTTAATGCAGGAAGCAGTTATGAGTGTCTGGATCCTTTTCAGTGATGGCTCAGTAACTCCACTGGACATATATGAAAGTAAAGACTTCTCAATTGTGGTGTCTTCACTGGACGAGATGGTGGTTTCAACATATCAGAATCCTTTGTCTAACTGGCCAGTGGTGGTTGCAGAAGGCGAAGGACAGGGCCCTTTAATAAAATTAGAACTGGGGATCAGTGAGATCTGCCAGAAGTCAAAGAGGAAAAGCAGTCTTGCTGTTGGCACCGGAACTATCAAGGTTAAATTTGGGCAAAAGGACTCTGATCAAAAAGGAAATATGAATGAAATTCAAAACATTGATGATAACTTAAAGAAAATCACAAGTAAAACTACTGAGAAAGCTGCAGAGCAGGAGAGGACAGCGAATGAGTGGCCAAAACCTGGATCTGCTGTCAGTAACGAGGATACAGTTGGCAGAAACTCAACATCTGATTCACCTTTAGATTATCAGAAGAACTATAATGACGCCCATATTGTCCCTATCCCATACACCAGTTTTCCTACACGAATAGCCTCAGTCCACAACCAAGAAAGAGAACTTGCACACACTGCTAGAGGTCTAACAGACTTGGAAATAGGCATGTATGCTCTTCTTTGCGTGTTTTGCCTTGCAATACTAGTTTTCTTAATTAATTGTGTGGCTTTTGCATGGAAATATAGACATAAAAGGTTTCCTGTGGCTGATCAAACCAACATTCCTCATTCTCATGACTGGGTATGGCTTGGAAATGAGGTAGAATTACTGGAAAACCAAGTAGATATTCCTCTTCCAGCAGAAGAATGCACTACAATGATTGACCGAAGGTCCCAATTTGAGGAAAGCAACTTTCTTCTTAATGGAGGTTCTCAAAAGAATCCATACAGTCAAATTATGCGATCATCTGATTACACTTATGAAAAAGAGGGACAAAATGAGCCATTAAACCCAGGGGGGTCAAAGAGAAAACGCGTAAAGTTCACATCCTTTACAACTATCTTACCTGAAGAAGGTGGTCCATATACCAATGCGGTCATTTTTGGAAACGAAGAAAATATCAAATGGGTTTGTCAGGATATGAACATTGGGGATTCACGTGAACTTAGAGACTACATGGATAGTCTTCAGGACAACCTGTAAAATGCTATGTTTCTATTCACCTTTATGCCTTCGTTTTGTTTGTTTCTTTTTTTTAGGTTGGGGCTATCCAATCAGCAATAGAGAAGCAGAACAACTCTTACAAGGTTACAGTGATTATACTGCCGATACGTTTTTGGCACTAAACTACTGAGTGCACAGAGAGATTTTTCAGTGGGCTATGTTAATTTTGGGTGCCATGGGGGTGCAGAGAGGTCTCCAGGTAATCACTGCTATACATACTCCTAAAAATGACAACTGTACTAAGTGGGTTACAGAACATGACCTGACACATACAGTCGTGAGTTCTGCTGAACCTTGGTCCATTGACTGTATGTCTGCTTGTAAGTGAACACTGTCAGGTTTACAATTAAAAGCACAGTGGACTTTTCTTGTAATATTTTAGATACCTGTTAACTATAAATTTGAATGTACTGCAAATGTGTACAAATGAAACATAAAACACCAGTTTTTGAAAGAGTAATTCTATTTTGAGACAACTGGTGAAGTAATACAACTATAAGAGTAAGAAAAATAAATATATGACAACCCATTTTGTTATTCCCAATTTGTTATTTATATCAGAAGTATATACATGTATTTTATATTTATTTGTCATTTATTGTTTTTCATTTACTGTAAATGGCCAGGGGACTCTCATTTTAGATGCACTTACTAAGGGGTGACATTGAGGAGATTCTGATCAATCCTCTAGGCTGATAAACAGCTGCTTCCAACTCTGTGTGTACTGAGGAAAAAACCAGTGTATCCATTAAGGGGCTGTATAATAAGGGCAATAAGTATAATTGGACACTGGTTTGACTAATATTTGTCAGTCTTTGTTGTCATTGAATGCAAAGCTGGCCGTGCAGGTGTGTTGCAGGTATGTTAGAAAACTCATGCAAGTCGCTATACGTCAGTTTCTTCTCCCTTCTTCCCTTCTATAAGCGTAAACACAAACACTGGACATGCTCCTCTGCTCTATGGTTTCTTTGACCCTACCTAATGCGTAAAGAAAATCTACACTTAAAATATGAATTCTCGTTGTCTGACAGGGATCATTTAGGTCACTTTAATGTGACAAATACATTAGTAACAAAGTTTACCCTAAGCATGTGATTCCTACCTAGAACCAGCAAAGCACTTCCACACATGACAGACACACTTCATTCTTCTAGCTTCACTGAAATCAGGAGTTGTATATCATCAGAAGCGAATCCTCGCCTACTCCTGATTCTTTTTGCAGGATTACACAGAAACTGATGTGGCAGCTGACTCTGAGCCACACAGAACTGTTGAAGGCATGAACTGTGAGCCTAGGCAAAAACATAGCTTTAGAATGCCTACTATAAATGCTATGCTACAGTAAATATGTGTTGAGCATCAAAAGATCTTTGAGTCCATACCAACTTATTGTTGCAACATTTACAATCATTTAGTAAGTAGCCATTATATATTTTTACACAATTTTTATGGATACTGATCTATTTAATTGGGGGATAGAGTTTGGTATCGAGTTAACATTTTTTATAGATAAACAAAATTATGGGGAAAAAATCAAGAATTTTTTTTTTCTGTAAAATGAAACATAATGTAATAGCTCTCCACAGGCAACTTCTCCCTTTTATGTAGTTTTCTTTTTTTTTATATATATATATACATTGCTCCCCTCCCCCAGCATAGCCTATATACCATATCTACTTACAAAGTTAAACCTGCAACCAAAAAATGACATGTAATCTCCTTGCTTTCTGCAGGTAATAGTCCACTTTTTAAAATAAATTAGTCGAAACATATTCTATTTTTTATGAACATCAACAAACCCGAATACTACTAGAAAACAGTTGACACCCATCATAACTCTATAAATTATTTAATTTCTTTGGACTGAGTTCTCATATTATTTGCAGACCAATACAGACCAATAGTTTAACTTTTCATAACGTTTTTTAGACATAGTTGTTACTAACATTTTACAGGTTATGAATTAGTCCTCCACTCCCAACTGTTTTCAAGTTGATTCAACATTCGACAACTTGCCTGAGTCTGAACAATACCAAGCCATGCACAATTGTTTCACTCACTTCTATTTATTAGCTATATTGTTTTTGTTTTGATGGTCTTTATTCTTGAATAATGCATCGGCTTTTCTTGGTTATCTGACCTTTTTCTTAGCTAACGCAATTAAATATAAATGTAATCACATCGACAAAATAAATATTCACATTTAATTTGGTTCCTAATATCACAGTACATCAGGGGAGTCCACATTGTAAATAAAGCTTGAATCAAATTTTCTCTAAATGAAAATGTAATTACATTGCCCCAAAGAGAGCTGCTTCAGCTTTTTTCCCTAAATGTGTACAATCTGTTGAAGTTGTTATTGCTGTTTCCTGCTAAAATCAATCCTATCAGCTGAAAAGAAAACAGGCTACTTGACAATGTTAGACAATAGCAGGTGGTGCCATATTTCATGGACTTTCACTGGCTACCATGTTGGCCTAAATGAAAAAATAAAAGTATACTTGTCACGTGATCACTGCAAGCATAAAGCAAATCTCTCTCCTGAGAAAATCTGAACATATTCCTAGGAACAGGGGGGTCTCCTTTGTATTTGTATGCTGACGGGGATAACAGAGGCTCTCCTTGATAAACGGAACATTTTGTTATAGTATTGATAGCTCATGTTACATTTGATCTAAGGTCTTTTGAGAAGATGATATGAACAACCTAATACAATTCCAGCATGCAAAGCTAAACACATAGTTAAGTTTTGATTACCCAGGTTAAAAAGCAAAATGCACAATAATGAATAACAGGCATAAATAGTCTATTGAAATAGAATCTAATAGGAAGGGTGGAATAATGTCAGTGCCGATAATTACAGACCATGAGGACAAGGATATTTATTTTGGCTTAAGATACACATACCTCTTTAGTGCTTGCTTGCATGATTGGGCGCAATGCTTTACTTCACTAATACATATACACCAACATAAACACACATATACCACACACAAACAACATGCACGCCATATTTACACAAGTATATACACAAACATCTGTAAATTATCAGCATTAACATTCTGTCATGTAGCTTCTTGATAGCCTGAGATGACAAAGGGGGCCTCTCTTGCTGCTTCAGTTCAATCACCCTTGGTTAGTGGGATAGAGAGTGCAGAGATGAAGTAGTGGCATAATGCCGGTGGATGATGATGCCACTGTTGCCACTAAAACCATGTTGTCTCATGGCTGAAGGTGAAGGATATGCAGGTTACCAGCAAGCAGAGTCCAGCAGCAAGACAGTCAGCAGGCAGAGATGGAGTCAAGAGTGGACTGGGTCAGCAACTTTCAGGTAGTGCCGTACAAACCAGCAGAAATCGTAGTCAAGAAACAAGCCAGACTCAACACAAAAGCAGAACAGCAAATTGAGGATGGTCAATGAAAAAGCATCAGGAAGCAGGCTGGGCCAGTAACAGAAGATCAGAATCAGATGCAGAATTGCAGAGCACAGAGTATAGCTGAAGCTCTCTTAACACTGTAGTCCTGCAGGTTTCAGCCATAAATAGCCCACTTGATGCCACAATTTGCAATCACCATGAACGCATGCATTTGCTGCAAGACATGCATGTGGCACTGATTTGCCTGTGTGCAGATGCATAACGTGCAAGTGCTCGCGCAGACCTCTATTATGTGGACTGGCTCGATCTTTCTGACACATCCTGCATCTTGCATGCTCTGCTCCCTCTAATGTGTGTTACAACTTGGTGTCTCCTCCCCACCTCGTAAAGCAGGTATATCCTGAAGATACTGCAGAGTACATCATTTATTTGTGGAATGTTGTGGCATGTTGACCATTTCCAGGCCCTATAGGAGCCATGTAGCCTGTTGTGCCTATGGTCAGGGCCATACATGAATAGTAAACTCATCTCATTTGTTTTCTAATTTCTCCAAACATTCCTTAAAATGGCTGGCAGTCAATGCTCCATCATAATTGTGTAACAGTATAGTTACTAGACAATGTAAAACTCTGATGTTGTTGCCTCTGAGGAAAATCTTCTACAGCTCAGGTTCAATGCTGTAAAACATATGATTCCATACATTAAGTGCAACAAGACCTCTTCCTTATAACAGTGTTTGGAATAATGGGTTTATCTAGCCAACACGATTCAGCAAGGTTAACAGGAAGGTGAAGTGTCGGGAAAGAAGCCATGGCTTCAAATATAAATGCAATCAGCACAGAATGAGAAATCCTGAGCCAGATTGCTAGTCCTATACACTTAAAGGAGAACAGAAAATTGTGCTTATGCTCCTTACATACAGATGGGGTAAGTTCAGCATTTTTAAAAAGAAAAAGCGTTTATCACAAAGGTAAAATGGTTGGGATACTGACCATCTTTTAGTTTTAGGATGATATGGCATCCAAAGAAATTTTCAACAGCTGTAGAATGATGAGATTTTGCTAATAATAGGCACATTCAGCCCTTAGTGCGGCCTGTACCTAGCCTAAATAGAGGCCAGAGCTTTTTTCCCATCTTGGGATTGCTATGCTACGCTTTTGCTGCCTGCTACTAAAATCCTGATTGTTCATCAACATTGCGACCTGCAACCTTTTCATAGGGAATGCTTGTTGGACATTTATTGGGTCATTACTGGCTTAATATCCCCTGTGAAAGGTGAAGAAAAATAATATAAACCTGTAATAGGTTTTCATTGGGCTCAAAAGGCACCATGTAGCTGCAGTATGTGCATATTTCTTCTTTAATAAATTGAGAATAAGTCAGAAACAGCAGGATATAATTATTATTAAAAAATGGATACATTGATAGATTTGTTCATGTGTTTAATAGATCATTTTATTTTCTCGGAACCAAGAATCTGTTATTGATTCCTTTTGGCACCACACTATGAGACATTGCAAAACAGCAAATGGATTGCTTCTATAGGATGACATTATGGCAGGGCAAAAAACAGCTCTATCCTATACCAAGCTGTCCTCAACAGTGGGCTAACATTTTTACTGTGAATTAGAACTGCACTACATGCAGCCATTCTTAATATCTTAAGCTCCAAGAATATATGAGCCCTTTACATTTGGATAGTGAGTTCTTATTAACAGACAATATGGTCAATTAATGATAACAAAATGCTTTTTTTCATTTTTTGTTATCCTGAAATTCCTTTGTATTTTTTTTTGTAAGAAAAGTCTTTAGAGGTATGCATCCTATTTTTCATTTTACTATTGGGTTTGTCTAGTAGAAAAAGATACCGTATGTAGGAAAATTCAAGATGCCCATTAATCTCTGCATTTCCCAAACATGGACACATTTAAAGTGTGTCTAAACCCAAGAACAGAAGCCTAATACATTGCAGATTACCGGTCCATAGATATGATGGATGCGTTAGTTTTTTTCAGGCTTAGTGCACTTTTTTTAAACTGGTAGTTATATTTTAAAATTAGCTTACAAGTAGGTATAAGTCTGTTTTTAGAAGTACCTTGTATGAAACTCCATTGCTACTTTGATCAGAGGGAAAGTAATTTTTTTCTTAAAAGATGTCTATGTAACTCTCTGAAGTATGAAAATAATACAAATCTGAATTATGACTTA